ACATCTATACCAGCTTTCTGTTTTCCACTGTCTAAGCTTGGCTGGGTCTCTAGACCAGGCTGGCCTCAAACTCAGAGATCTACCAGCCTCTGCATTTTCAGTGGTGAGCCCCACCACACCCGGCTTTAAGCTTTTCTTTCTTTCCACAAATTGGAAACTTAGCTGGGTGATATTTTACCCTGAGGTCACCACTCCCTTTATTTTTACTAGTAAATCTGTTTATCTCCTTGGACACAGGATTTAGCTCCATTCCTGTGCTCCTTTTTCTCCTCAAAATTTATATTTTGTAATTTACACTGCTCATCTTGCTCTTTTTCATTATAAATCTTCATTAGAATCACCACTAATATCCATACAACAGAGTCTATACTAGGCTGTTTTTAATTCTGCTCACAGAATTAATCTAAAATCCTTCACTTTAGCCTCAGGTAGACTCTTTGGATAAGAACAAAAGGCAGTCACTTTCTTCACCAAAATATCAAAAGACCAGACTCTAGGTTACATACTAACATTCTCCTCTGAAAGCTCCTGATCCCCACAGCTCATCAAAACACCACTCTCACTCAGCACCACTGTCTTCCAGGTTCCTACTAGGATGGCTTATTAAGTAGTGTTTAAAAGCATTTCACTGTTTCCTAACCCCAAAGTTCATACTACTCCAAACAAAAATATGGTCAGGCCTAGTACCAACTTGTGCCTTAGTTAGGGGATTTCTATTGCTGCGAAGAAAAGACACCATGATTTGAGTAACTCTTATAAAGGAAAATGTTTAATTGAGGTGGTGACTTCCAGTTTCAGAGGTTCAGACTATTATCATCATGAAGGGGAGCCTGGCGGATGCAGGAAGACATGGTGCTGGAAAAATAACTGAGAGTCCTATATCTTTCAGGCAGTAGGAAGTCAACTGAGACACCAGGAAGTATCCTCAGCATAGGAAACCTCAAAGTCTGCCCCCACAGTGACATACAGTGACATACTTCCTCCAACAAGGCCATACCCACTCCAACAAAGCCACATCTCCTAATAGTGCCACTCCCTATGAGCTTATGGGAGTCAGTTACATTCAAACTACCATAGTCACCTATACCTTGGAAGAGGAAGAAGAGATGAATGAAAGGGATAGAATAAAGATGGCTTGTGTGCATGTTTGAAGAGTAACACAAGTAGCTACAAGTTTCCCTCCTATCCTGCTGACTATGATAATGAATCTGTTTCAATAAAACTTGCAAGAAGATGCTAATTGTGCTTTTTTTAAAAAAATGGCCTGTCAGGTTTCTTTAACCTCGGGCTTCTTAACAAGCTGCTAGAACGGCTTCCTTTTCTACAAAGTTTCCAGTTACTTTGCTACATTTTTTTAGGGCCAACTCCTTTATTTCCAGACTGCCCATGGCACCACTTAAGCCTTAAGTGGATCTCAACCTTCCTACTGCTGCTTAATCTAATACTTCCTGACCCTTGAACACAGCTCCTCATGTTGGAGTGAACCCCTACTTTAAAGTCATTTTGTTGCTACTTCACAGTTGTAACTTTGCTACCGTTAGGAACTGGAAGGCAAATATCTATGTTCTCTGATGGCCGTAGGTGACTTCTCTGAAAAGGTTGTTCAACCCCCAAAGGGGTTGTGACCTACAGGTTGAGGGGCACTGATGGGGCTGCACCTCCATGCTGCCCTTAGAGAAGGCTGTGTTTGCAGAAACTGAAAACAGTATAGTTTCAAGCATGTGAACTCTTAGGTCAAAGTACCCTTCTAAGGCAGGTTCGTCAACAGAGACACAGGACAATGGAATATATGTGCAGAGAGACTGGCAAGAAATCACACACAGAGAAAAGAGCCTCGCTTCCTCATTTACTGTCAGCGATGCCAACTGCCTCAAGGCCCAACTGCATTCCTGGTCTCAGACTCTCACACAAAGCTACAGTATTGCTAACAAAACACTCTGGTTGCTTAAACTAGTTTAAGTAATTTTGTATAATTGTTAGGAAATAAACCCTAAGAGCAAAACAAATGAAGGGAGAGGAATACAAAGTATAGTGTATGTGTGTGTGTTGTGTTATACTGCAAAGTTTTGTTAATGTTGCCTTAAAAAGAAAGAGAGAACTCAAATTAGAGCTATTTTCTCTTGGCATTCTAAACTCCCGTTCACTGTTCTATTCTCAGACCTAACAGTGCCTTATACACATCTAACAAATGTTTATTGATGGACATACAATTCAAAATGGAACTCACTTGATCAAAATAGTACATCTAATTGTGAGGCTTTTCAATAGCGTTTCATTTCAAATTAAGATGTTCTTTATAATTCTCATTACCATAATTCTGTCTAAACACAAATACACAAAGAAATGCTGTTTGTTAAACAGGAGACTAGGAACCATAATGGTACGTTTTATTTCAGATCTTGTGTTCACTCTTAGAGCTATGAAGCCTGCTCAGTGTAGTGGTCATTAAGACGGTCCACAGACTGTGTCACAGCTCGTCCTTCTGACCACATGGTAAAGTTGTACTTCCCTACTCTTTGAAGTTAGGTATCACTATAGGAGTCATATGGCAGTTTTCAAGTGGAAGCCTTGAAGAGCCAATGTATTGCTATTATCCAGCACATTCTTTCCCCTCTCCTGCTAACAGCCTGGGGGTCCAAGTGACTATCGGAAATGGAGCTCCTGTGCTGACCCTCATCAGACATAGAGTATGACAGAAATAAACCTTTGCTGACTTAAGTCACGAGGAAGTGAAGAGAATAAATGGCATCGGCTCTCAATTTTTCAGGACGTTAACACCTTGTATATCTGTTCAAAAAATTCTTTTACTTTTGTATAGAAGTGTTACACTTCCATGCATGGGCTTCAGATACATTTTCAAATCAATTTCTCATCCTCCCAACTTGATTTCTGAAACCCAGGATCCAAATACATCTGGATAAGATGCTATTCTTGCACTCCAGACTCTTGCCACCTGTTCTCATTTGCATCCTTCAGCCGGTTCTACTACCAGTACCCAATAGGTTCTCAGCATTTATTCTATGAGCGAATAGTGTGCTATAAACACACTAGTCTTATAAACAAGAATGCAGACACCAAGGGCTTATAAACTCGCTGGAAACAGTCCCACACATTAATAAGTGCAATCACAGGTTTTTGGTTCCAGATCTCTCCCCCTTTTGTTGTTGTTTTGAGACAGGGTCTCACTATGTAACCCTGGCTGACCTGGAACTTGCTATGTAGGCCAGGCTGGCCTCTAACCCATGGAGATCTCGATACTTCTGTTTCCAGAGCGCTGTGGCACCACAGCCAGCCTTTTTGCTCTTTCTACTTGAGGCAAGTTTTCCAAGATCTTTTATAGCTACAAAATGTAGGACTTCACAGTAAACTAATAATAATACAAATGATGTTTATGATACAATGGCATGCAAATCATTTATAGTCAATAATAATAATTGAAAGTAATCCCTCAAGGATACTTACTTGCCTAAACCTATTCTAATGCTCAAACAGTAAACATTCTGAAGCATAAAAGAGAAGCCCCACAGGGTAGCTGGTCTAACAGGCAACTTGCACAAGATGTCTGGAGTATGAGACTAGTGGCCTTTTCCTTTGATGTGTACTAGATTAAAACCCTGACTTCTGGATTAGCTTCATTTTGGTCCTCCCCAAATCCACTAACATCAAACATTTTGTTATCCCATGTCAAGCTGTAAGAAACATTCACGAAGGACTGCTTTACTAGATGTGAAATAGGTCACAGCACCCGTCCTTCCGTCAACTGATTCATAGCAGCATTGTAACGATGCTCAAGAGACTCTGGGTAAAAAACTTTGCAACTTGTCTAATCCAGATGCCTCAAGTTCATCTGAGCTCAGAATCTTCTTTTCCTCTTCCCTCGTTCTGGAGTTCGAACACAGGATCTTGCCCGGAGCATACAAGTCAAAGTCCCCTGCCACTGAATCACACACGGCCCGAGTGCCCCAGTTTAGTTAAAAAACCTAGATTACTAACATGCTATTCTTGAAAGCATGGCTTGGGAAATACTAGCCCAGATCATCACAACCAAGAATTCAGAGAACATAGCCTTCTAATTTATTATTGCCCTATATTGATATACTTTTTTTGATGCAGAATTTACAATTTTCTGCTGAGATATTTTAAAGATGTCAACTGCTACCATCCCCCCCTTCCTTTCTTAGGGCCCATAAGAAACTGTTTCTCTCAGGCCTCATTACTAGAAAAAGGCTTGCTTAGGCAGAAGAACTGGTTTTGTTTTTTTAAACCCTGGAATTTGAAACATGCTTACTTTGTTCCTTTCCGGGCTTCAAGGAAGTTCAAAACCCAAACTAAGACTCACGTGTTGTACAGGACCTGACAGCATGTACTTTCTTCCCCGCCCACTTCCTGCCCAACCTCAATATTCTCATTTAGTTTGTTTTACTATATTGTACACATAGACACAAAATTACTTCAGATATCTCGATACGCATGTTATGTGTGTATATCTAATGTTTTTCTTAAATTTTGTATCCATTTATCTCTTTTCGCAAAAATATTCGCCTTTATCTAAAGGTCTTTACATAAACCCCTGTACAGAACATAAACATTCACTACAGTAGTCAAACCTGTAAACGCTTAAAATAAGGAAAAAAGTTGGAGTGCCCCTAACAGCGATCTAATAATAAAAAGCCTTATTAAACTGTTTAACAGGAAGATTTATTAAACTCTTTCCTAACAGGAAGGAGAATTAACATTTATTGTGCATCAGTAAAACGGCTAGGCAATTACTAACAGCAGTTCCATTTTCAAAACAAAGTTGGAGGGCATCTGCCAGAGCATAATCCCTGAACCAAGCAAAAGAAATTGTCCTTTCACGGCGGTGGAAGTGGGGCTGGGACACACTCTGTATACCCGTTTTAGTAAAAGTCTCAAATCAGATGAGATAATCATAATGGCAACAATATACACTCGCTAACAACCAAGTTTTCCCAGCAGCTTCTGATTCCGGAACACGCTCTTGTGAAGCAGCTGTCTAAACGCCAACGTTGCGACCAGTCAACACCAAACACAGGAAACTACACTACAATCTTATTCTTCACCTTTGAGGATAAGGCCATTACGTGAAAACTTTAACAAGGTGTGTATGTTGTGGAGGAACAGAAATACTTTCCAGCTTGTTTTATTCTTGGGAACATTTCTGGAGAGCAGCACTCCCTCCTCACCCGCCCGGCTATCCGCGCCGCGTGCAGAACTTTGAGCAACTCCAGGGCGGCGGGACCGAGTTCCGGAGTTAGGGAGCTGAAGAGAGAACCAGGTTCGATTCCCGGTAGCAGCTCGAGAGTCCCTAGCCTGGGCTGGCTCATCTGGAGGGCAGGTCACCCTGGCGAGCAAGTCCTCGGCACGCGTAGACCCCGAGGACCAGGGAGGGTCGCATGTGTGCGGAGAACGGGCCTTCGCGGAGCAGGAAGTCTCACTTACCGAGCGGGGGCGGGAGGGACTCTCGAGCTGCTACCGGGAATCGAACCTGGTTCTCTCTTCA